AAATATGTATGCAATGAGGAATTTTTGTTTCGCAGAGGTTCATACCACCATTTATATACATGTCTATTATAATAAATCAATCTGGTATTTTTATTTGATTTTAATAATATATTTGAAACTAGCAGAAAAATATACTTCCTTTCAAAGAGGCGTTGTCTATCAATTCATGTAAAAATGAATAACGATGAATTAAGAAAAATAATCGCAGATTAATTAATGACGAAATTATGTACACATTATATTAATTGATATATTAAAGTACTCTTCTTTCTAATTTATGTTAAATTCGACTTCTTAAAAATAAAGCTTGATGTATGTATCAAGAGAAATAAGCTCCCCAAGTATTACATCTAGATTATTCGTACACTAACAGAAGCATTATAAACTGGAAAGTGTCATTTATAATATTGTCGACTATTTTGCTTACTTAATTTTTTTGAAGAATAAACACATCGAATGTTTAAGCATTTATTATATTTCACATAAAGATGCATATTTAACATGCAGTCTTTAATAATGACATAACATTTCTCATATATCAATGTAAATCTGCAAACGTAAATTGAAGAAAATACAAGAATGAATATGATTTACGATTTACGATATTGTTTATTTATCTTTACAGAAGAGTGTTTTGGTCTCGCCTCTATCACCACAGGTACAAGAATGAATACGAATTGAATTGAAATATCTTTATTTATCAAAATGAAGGGTGTTTAGACCTTGTCTATATCACGTATATCGCCACACCACTATTCGAAAATGAACACGCATTTATCTCGCCTGATGCTGACATCTTTCGCTTAAATATTTGAAATAAAAGTCTTCAGTCGATAAACTATTAAATTGCCTCCTGCACTTATTTAATACACTTTTTATGAAATAATTCATTCATTCACATTTCCTTACAATTTATCAAATTGATGCACGTATTATGTTACACCACAATGTGTAATTTTCGTACAAGTATACGATGTGTATAAACATAACCTAAAAGTATAGAGAACGATAGTAATTGGCGCACGTGAATTTTAGATTGTAAACAATCATATTTTTAATGAAGATTGTATAGTACATCTTTACTTCTTTGTTTTTATTTCATGTATGTCCATACACGAACTCGAATTGATAAGTACAAACATTTTTCTAGAGGAATCATTTTTACTTTAAAGCACTTCTTCTTAAAATCAAAAGCAGATTTAAGATATGGATTTGAGTACTGTAAAAGGCAGCAGAGTTCCATTTATTCCAGGAACAAAACCATCAATAAAAAATTCTCAGCTACTCGTTTCATCTGGAATTCCTTCTTTGGATCATATAATAGGTCTTCACATATTTTTTTATAATCTATTGTATCAAATGTATTGTATAATAATGTAAAATATTACAGTGTTATAGAATATCATGAGCTATTGTATAATATAAGATCTATTTTTTAGGTGGTGGACTACCTATTGGTTCCCTGTTTCTCATAGGTATTTAAATTTTATGTTTATTCATATTTTTTAGAGCATGGTTTAAGAAAGTGATCTTGATATCAAGTATGACAACAAGGAGTTGAGCTTAGATATATACTTCATACAGTTCAACATGTCCAAATTTCTTATAAATCCATAAAAATCTGTAGTCTAGATGTAAACATTTATATCATTGATTGAGACATGATATTGTTTTTAGAGGAAGATAAATATGGTACATACTCAAAAGTCATGTTAAAATATTTCATGGCAGAAGGTGTAATTACAACTCAACCATTATTAATTGCATCTAAAGATGTGAAAACGTCTAGCTTCTTATCTGAAATGCCAGCTGCTATAATAGATAATATATCATCAGAACAGTCCTCAAATGTGAATGAACAAATGCAAATTGCATGGAGGTATCAAAACCTGAAGGTAGTAGATACTTCGCCAAGTGGTGGGCAAGTGTTTGGTCATTTCTACGATCTTACAAAGACGATGGATAAAGAATTAATCAACAAAGCAGATATAACACAGTGGTACGATGATAATTGCCCTATGAAAGATCGTATCTTCAACAATAATACATATTCACACTTATTAAAATGCATTCAAGAATCTGTGCGAAGAGGACAGTATTCACTTTCTGAAACAACCACTAAGAGACAAGTTTTAAGAATAGCCATTCACTCTTTAGGATCCAGACTGTGGTGCAGTGATTCTGAAACTGATTCAAATCAAGATTTATTAAAATTCTTGTATCATTTCAGAGCACTTTTAAGATACAATTATGCAGTTGCGGTAGTAACAGTACCTACTGAGTGTTTTGACAATTCCGTGAGTTGTGCATACAAATATTGGTTTGAATTTTATTTTATTATTATGTAGAATTTTCGTTACTTGAACACTCATTATGTGAAAGTTCTTTTATATGAACGTATTTGTCGCTCAGTTCATATAACGAAGGTTCTACTGTGCTTGCTGATCAAATTTCATGAAATGATATCTCATTTATGATATAATCTTCAGACTGGCATTGTCGATCAAATTGAACACTTATCGGACGCTGCAATTAAATTAGAGTCATTCGCAGGCTCGCAAAAAGAAACAAATCCACTTTTTCGGGACTACCATGGTTTGTTACATCTTCAAAAGATGTTTGCTTTAAATACGATATCACCTCATGAGCCCGACTCACGAGACCTCGTATTTAAATTACGTCGCAAGAAATTTGTGATCGAGGTAAAAATCTTTAAATTGAAATTTTGATAAAAATGCACACTTTTACATAAAGTAAAACATTTTTATACATATGATTTAAATAGAAATTTATTTTATCATTTCAGTATCATGATACATATTTCTGTAAATTTTCTGCGTATTCACTCTTCATAAAATTCGTAGGAATGATATAAATTATTTTTGATTGATTTAGGTCTTACATTTGCCACCTGAATTGGAAGATACTGTTCAACGGGAACAAGACGATATACCTCAATTAGGATGTTCCAATCAAGCACGCAAGAATCTGTTAGATTTTTGAAACATTCTGTACAAATATTATATACTTATTTAACAATTTTATTTTATACATACTATTAAACGTTGTATATATTTCTGAACAACATGGACCTATCACTTTCTTCTACCCTTGATTCTTTTATTTATTCTTTGATTCTTTGAAATGTTTATATATATTGTATACGAACATAATTTTATTTTTGTACGGATGTAAGACTATTAAAAGTCGGTTTTTTCACCACATGAAGAGTGTTTACTTTTTTCCATCCCAGTTAGTTCTAATACCACGCAAGCGAACACCATACGCGTTATTCGAACCAGAAGTGCACCGCGTGAATTAATGCAGGCGGGAGGAGATAGGCTCTGTGAACACTCACAATAATACTCGTGTACCCGTTCCGTGATATAATGTTACATGTAAATTTTTCTACAGCTACATAGTAGAAATATAAAATAATATCTTGTGTGTAAGTATTATAGGAAATGTATTATCAATTATACGAATTATTGCATGAAATATTTTATAAAACGTTGTATTGAACGTTACTAAAATTATTATATGAATCATTGTACTAATTTTTACTCTGGGTATCAGTGCATGGTGCAAATGTGTTAAATGCCATTGTTAAATTTACTTTCCGTGAATTTAATTGAGTTAAAAAAAGTTCCGAAATGCGAACGGAAGTAAACAGGCTGAGCGTTACTCATCCGCGACGATTGCGGTCCCCCGTGTGTGCGAACTCTGACAAACACTAGTTATATCTGTAACAATCGTATAAGTACACGCATATGGACATTTCATCCCCTCCTACGAGATTTTTTATTTCTTTTTGTTTCGTGCCTTTCTATTTCCTTCCGGTTCCATCCGGTCGGTCGCGCATGAGGGCATCCAACGCAAGCGCGCGTACAGATGCCAGTATTTGTAGCAGCAAGGGGCGATCTATCACGCGGGTTTTTAGTCTTCCATTTAACGTGGTCAAGCACGCTTCGGTATCGAAAAAAAAATTGTGTGAAGGTAAAGGATTTAGTTATTGGATGTATAGTGAAGTTTTTGATAATTTGAAGATATTTCTTTACTTCTGAGGCTTGTCGGAGTGGCAATGTCAATATTTATGCAGTTGATATATTAGTTTTATTTTTTATTATTTACCATATCAGCTGTTATTCCTATGTAGCTTTTCGAAGATTTTGTTAAAATGTAAAAGAAATATTGTATGTAACAGTCTTCATCCTAAGTATTCGCCCTATTTGCTTTTTCACCTCAAATTAGTAAATTTAAACGCTTAAAGATTTGAGCCAAGATTGTAATACATTTGACTTACGTAAAGAAACTTAAATTTCATGTCTAAAAACATGATGATACGAGATGCATCATGCCATTTTTATTAATATCTGGTTCTGTGTCCGGTAACCAGGTGAGACAAGGTACTTGGAACCTTTATCTTAATTGAAAACGAAAAGAAATTATGTTCATGGAGTGCGCTCATGTTCTCGTTTGTTGCAATTATTAATGGAATGTCGTCGCAAGGAGATAACGTGACGGCTCGTCACTAAGTACTTATTATCGTGTACACTTAAATTAAAGAGAAATTAAGAAATCCATGAGTTAAAATGGAAAGAAAAGGCTTCGGTCTTTCGCGTATCTTCATCTGCTGTTCCAATGTCATATTTTTGGTAAGTTTTTTAAGTTTACGAGCTCTTCGTATAATAATTTTAGTATTGAATGCAATTATTTTCGTTATTCTGGTAGAATGATAATGCGCAAAAAGCATGTTCTGCATTTTTATTAGACTGTCGAATAAAAAACTTAAAAATGATGCTCTTTACTTGTTTCTTCGTGAATCCCACCTATAGCAATCTTCTGTAATTTTTTTGTTATACATTATATAGTGAAAGTACCTCTTTAACACATGAACAAAAATTAATTCGTTGAGTTCAATATTAGAAAGGTTACTCAATTTTGAAATGTGTACAAATATTTATGGACTTCACTGTATACTTTTTAATAAATGAGCGTCATTCATAGTCTAACGATGAAAAATCAGAGCTATGGAGTCGGAGGTAACAAAAAAGAGTATTTAGCGTCGGAATCCTAAATTTTGTATCTCTGCAGCCATATTAGAAATAGTAAACGTAGATTAACCGTTTGAGTCCCAAGCAGAGCGATCGCGTTCTTTAGATTTTGTGTTGAAAAATTCCAGTACTCATTTAGAGAAAGCGCAGACGCGCTGTTCGGGATTTTTCGACAGTGGTTTTTTTCTCAATACCCCTTGGGACTCAAACGGTTAAAAAACATAGGAAGCTGAGGACGTTGGTTCGTTTCCAGATATCGGGTTTCGCGTTGATGTCATTAGGTGCGCTGTTATTAGCCGATGACGAGCGCATCCTAATGTCACGTTTATTGGGGCCAGGAGACATGCATCCCGATCAACCATTATTTTATTACCTGGCGTTCGCAGTCGTTGGACTCGGATTTCTCATCACGCTCACTGGCCTGCTCGGATGCTGGGCTACTTGTCTCTACAATCGATGTGTCACTGTTTCAGTAAGAATCAAGCAATTTTTTCACTTGAATTGAGTAATTTTAGTACTATTAATGTAAATGTTGTTTATTGTTATAATGCTTGATATAATATTTGATTCAATGTCTCATAAAATGATTTAAGCAGTACTTGATATAGTAATTCATCCAATGTTTCATATAATGATTCATATACGATTTAACACAATAATTGATATACTAATAAGAATGAATATTTCATTTTTACGGGATTTAATCATTCAAAAGTTCTGTACAATCCCTGCACTTGTTCGCTTCCTCAGACCAAACTAGAACCAGATTTCCCGCTTTGTTGGTCACGCGTCGTTGCCCGGAAACAGAATCTGCATAAATCAGGCACGCGTGCCCACAGAAGGAGGGCGAGCCCGCGTATCGTTTAAAAACAGCAATTATTTCAAGGAATCGCTTATTAGAGGAGCGTACGCGCGATGATCGTTCCGTGAAACCCGCTCGCGTTTCACGGTCACGCTCGAAACTTCAGATATCAACAATTTTAATGGCTAATTAATTAAAAAAGTGATTAACAACTTCGCGAGTTGCATTTTTTTAATAAGTAAATTAATTTTTTAGTAGAAATTCAATCAACGTATTATTGTTTTATTTGTTTTTCATGCAGTACATTGTATTGCTACATGTAATAATGCATACATGTGCTTAAAATGAGATGAGTTATACATATGTAGTACATAAATGATAGAATACCAGTTACACAAGTATTTAAGTATATAATTGTTAAATAGAATAATAAATCTCATTATTTATTTCTTAACATTAATACGGTTTAACTACTTCAATTTATACAATATACGTATATTACATGGATATATTATAACTGACTACAGTACAAACTAAATATTAACACAAATGCAGTCCATGTTGAACATAAAATAGGCAGTAAAATCACTTAAGCAATGTTTTATTTAATTATAGGTGGTTCTCTCATTATAAATACGGTTGGCATCCTATTTCATTTCTGATTCCAGTATCTGATCGCGATAATCCTCCTGCTGTTCGGAGAGTGCACCGTATGCGTTCTAGTGGTGTTTTGGCCTCACGTTCTGGGCATCGATGTGAGACCAGCACGATTGGTACGAGCTTTGCAGCGTAGTTACGCTGTTCCTGGTCGAGAGCAATTCACGGCAGCTCTTGATCTTGCGCAAACAACGGTACGTTCCTGTTTCCGTATCGAAATTTTCTTTTTCAATTTAAATTAAGGGGGCAGTGGTACTTAAATGTCCAAAAAGTGCCTACTTTTACTACTTTTTATGGAAATTAATATCAAATCTGTTTAAGGGTCTGCACTATGCATAATTGTAGATATTCACAAATCTTTTTTGGAAAATGCTCCGTAAAACATTAATCTCTTTTGCATTTAAATTTTCTATATTTAATCACAATTCTCTTCAAATCTGTACTCTAATTATAGTAGTGTATTGCGTCTATGTAGAACAGAGGAGTGTCCCTTGTGGATTCCTGAAAGCGATGAATGCGATCGCTACGTGAAAGGCAAATTACGTATACACGCCTTTTAACGAGAAATCATTTCGAAACCTTTTTAGTTTGGTTGCTGCGGCATAAACGGAAGCAGCAATTACGGAACCTCGTGGTGGCGGCTGCAGGAAGTCGGCCGACGAGAATTGGTGGTGCCTCTCAGTTGCTGTGCCCTGAACAACGCGAACCAGACCGACTCGTTCCTTAACCCTGAACCTGCCAATCTCACTCTCTGCCAGACTTTGAATCCCGCCGAACATCAATACGCCCGACACACCGCGGTACGTATCGTTAATCAGGATGCTGTTAAACACGTGAAATCGGACATAAACATTGCGACAAATGACGAGTCTATTAACGTGATATAATATTGTAATTGTAGAAGTGGTAAACCATTTCGGAAATTTTGTTATCGTTAGACTGCACTTTTAGGCAGAATAAAACATTTATAGTATCAGTTTAAAAGATGTATTTTAAATAAAAATTTGATTGTCCTTTCAATTAAGCACTGCAGTATGCATTTCGCTTTTGATATTCCATGTATTAAAATTGGTTGCACAGATCGTTAATATTTTACATGCATTTAATTGTTTTGTAAATATATAACGTGCATAGTTTATTAAATTATTGGGCACATATAAAATTTTAATTTGAACTCACATAAAGTAATTTTGGACAGACAGGCGCATGACGTTCATGTCATACCGTGACCGTTACTGTCGTCGTTATATTTTCACAATAATTTCATTGTATCGACGGGCATGAAATCGGGGGAAACGAGAACAAGTCGCATCGATGCTCTCTTTACGTCGAACGCGAGAACGCGTTCAATAATGACCCGCCTGATAATGTCACAGCCTGAGGGAAATCCATTCTGATGCGGGTTGCGTAAAAGCGGGGTGTCTATCGTTCAAACCATATCGCATCCGGAAACGGATGAATCGACAAGGTTCTCGTCGAAAGAACCGTGGTAACAGAGTTTCACGTTGCTCGAGAGAACTTTTTTAAATGTAGACGGTCGATTTTCATGCAGAATAATTCTTGAAGCTTCGTAAAGAATGAAAGAAAATACTTCTTCTCTCAGGGCTGTCTAGAAATGCTCGAGAAATGGACTCAGGAACAAGCACTGATACTACTGACGGTTGGATTAACAGTGATTTTCGTGGAAGTGGGCGCGCTTCTGAGCACGTTCTTTGCCTGTTCGCGAACCAATAAAAGGGCAAAATCTCAAACGTCGACTTTTACGTCTACACAAACGCTCAGTCCCTTCAGCGAAAGTGATCACGATTTTGGTAATTTTTCTTGTTATGATAATTGTTATAAATAATTCACACGGATTCCGACGTAGTGTGAAATACTTTCACAAATTTAATTTAACAAAAGCAGTTGAAATTATTTATTAATAATTGTACCGATTACTAAAGTCGTATGAGCCGACAAAATTGTATTAACACAAATTCTTTTGGAATATTGATTTAGTAATCATATTTATAGTACAAGTGAAAATCCCAATTTTTTTACTTATATTACTTTTATAATAACAGATTCAATTTAAAGAAAAATAATGAATTCTTAATTCTATAACCGGACTGTAGATTCTTATGGAAAATAAAACACTTATGGTATCAATTTGTAAAATAAGATTTAAATAGAAATTATTTTCAACAATTAATTATTGTAAATACATGCACAATCCACAAATACATAAAATGTGCTTGTCTATCTATAGTTATCATAAATAATAATCGTTTCTACAAGAATGTCTCCTTGCATTATTTATAGGTCTAGGTATCGAAAACAGAATGCATGGTACCACATTCGGCGCTAAATCATGAAGGTGGCTAGAGGGCAGTGAGGGTAAATTGTCACTGGATGTAAAGAACACAAAATCTACAAACAATTTGTCTGGACTTAACGACGTAAGAAGATTCAGGAGAAGTATAATCGAGGAATGGAAAAATCCTCCAAGACTTGACGAGAATGTTTTGCGAAGTGATCAATTATACGAGGAACGCGCAGTGGACGTGGGACTAGATTATTTTCACTATAATCAAGCAAAAGAAGTAAGAAATCATGCCAAAGAAGATGCAATTAAATATAATAGTAGTGGCACGGTCAGGAGTATACCCATTAAAAATTATCAGGCCTCCATAGCACATAACTTCGGTACACTGAGACGTTCCGAAGCGCCCCAATTGCAATTCGAATCCTCTATCTCCGAGCCTGAGAGAAATCTTCATGCAACAAAACGTAAACCTTCTTCATCTCAAATTCGAACTTCAAAACGTTCGGAGACGTTGAATCCAGCCAGAAGATCTTGTCACTCTTGCGATTATCAGCACGAGATTCAAAACGATCGTCAACAAATTAATTCGAAATTAAAAACTCTCGACAGGAGAATAGTTAGAAGTGATTATAACATTTCCAAGCACAAGAAGGATGAAGACTTTAGCGACTGCGACGATCATTTTCATAAATCTTCTTATAAGAAATTAGATGTTAGAAGAGGTAAGAAGAATAGAGAAGAAGAAAAGAATAATTCGAAGCGTTTGAAAGGTGATTCAGTTAAAAGCAAATATGGAACCATCGCACTCGAACGTGGACACGTTGGACAGAAAATATTCGCGTACGAAGAAAACGCCAGGCGTAGCAGTCGCAATTGGGATTCTCCCGGAAAGTATCAAATAGTTCCCGAAATAAAAAAGCATAGAGCAATTGGTGTGCCATTGGTAGGCATGCATAACGCGTGTGGTTTGCCTGTGGTCGCTTCCTGGCACGATCATGAATTGTTGGAGCCTTTGAAAATCGATGGCAAAATTTTGGGAACGTTGAGACCAATTTTTAAGGGACAACGAGCTTCGATTGATTTCTGTAGAACTCATTCGAAAAGAAAAATGAAATCAAGAATTGCTAAAAGATCTTATTCGTCAGATTTAAAGAAATCGGATAAGAAAATTGATTATCCGTCTATTAAATCGTTGGTTTCTCTGGAAAGCGATGGTAAGAGGAGAAGGAGACGTCCTTCGTTCAAGGCGAAAAACTCTGGTGCGTTGAAAAATTCTGTGAGGCGAAGGAGATTCGAAAGAAGAGATAAAGAAAATTGTAACAACGGTAGCAGTCGTTGGAGAACGATCGATGTGGGAAACACTAAGAGGCAAACTTTGTATGCAAGAGACGATGGGGATGACGCTGTGCAGGTTTTGAAGAATTTATGCTTGAATCCTTTGGCTCGAACCAAATCCGAAACTGATATGATATGGTAGAAGGAATTAAGCAAATTAATTAGTAAATATAATTCCTGACTGAACAATTAATTTTTCTATAAAGCAGTCCATTGATCACATTTAGAATGTTACTTTAATTATTCCATTGATTTTATAATTGCTCATTATAAAAGAAGAATTTTATGCGTAAAAAAAGTTTCAGTCAAGTCCTTCTGGAAATTCTCGTATTACCGTGTAATACAATGTTCATTAAAATTATTTTAACTTTCGTTCTATATGATATTAACTCACTGTCTGTAATCACATTTGTTCTAATGATTTGTACTAACTGCATACTGGGTCGTTTAAATTCATGCCTGTCCTTTTCAGATTTAAGAAAAATCACCAAAATATTCTTCAATAATGAAGTTCCGAAAATGTCATTCAATAGTTTTTATTGCTAAACAAATGATTGTTAAACAAATAAACATTTAAACGAACATGGAAAACAGTCTGACTCAAAAACGGCTGAATATGCAGACGGAGGGTTGAGTAAAATTCATTAAAATATTATTTTTAATTTTGTAACGTATAGGTACGTACTCATTATATGCTTTGTAAATATGCTGAAGTATTCTGTACTCTTGAATCTTATAATGAAGCTAAAACCCTTGCTACCCTCGTTAAAAGTAGTTCTTTACCTATATACATATAGCTATCTGCTGCTATCGATAGGAAAAATTAAATTTTATATCTATTCATATGCGTAGTGGTCGATTAAAATATGGCTAAATTGCGCAAGATAAACGGAAGTATACTTTGAATTGAATAAAAAATTCTTTATCTTTAATTTAATTTATTTCATTTCCTATCATAATGATCTAAAAATCTAAGCGAAGCTCTCGAGTGCGAGATTATAGATGGTGTTCAGAATTGCTAACCGTAATTTTTTATGATGATAATAAAATCACGACCGGGAAAGCAATTTTCTACAGAAAGTGGACTTGCTATAATTGCAAATATTTATATCTGCAAAAGCAATCTGAAACAGCTTTTGATTTTTGTCAACTCTAGCTGAGCGTCACGATCCGAGCCATCCTACCCGTGACTTGGTGCGGACTCTACATGCGCTCTTATTGGTCAGTGTTTCTTGTTAATAATTTAAAAACCATGCCTCACTTTGCATTTTGACAAAGGAAATTGTTGTTCAGAACACTTACAGAATCACTCACCTGTCTTTACTCACTTAAAGTCTAACACTTCTTCTGGGACACCCTGTATGGTCGAAGATGACAACCAAAACCGTCCTCGTCACATCTGCCGTTTGCTCGTAAACTGGCTGTACTTCGTAACTGTCAATTGTTGGTTTATTTTATTTGAATAATTATTATTAATAAAATGTCTAAAGTGAAGAACAGTAAAAGATTCTATTGGAAAGGAAAGTTAGTGAGTGAAAAAATATATAATCAACGATTAGTTCAGCAACAAAGTGGTCGTAATTCAGCTGTAAGAAGGTTAACTCCGAAACAGACAGAGACAGCAAGGAATCTTCAGTACGATGAATTTGAACCTCCAAAACAGACAGAGACAGCAAGTAATCTTCAGTACGATGAATTTAAACCTCCAAAACTGACAGAGACAGCAAGTAATTTTCAGTACGATGAATTTGAACCCCCAAAACCAGCAGAAGGTCGACGTATTGTCGAATTACTTGTTCTGGGAAATCAACTGTGGTGCACAAATTGCAAAGAATGTTTATCATTGTCAAATATCGAACGAGAACAACGTCGAGGGCTTGGCTCCATTTTATCAGTTCGCTGTCATAAATGTTCATTGATAAATATAATGAGCACTGGTCAACAGCATAGCACGCCTGAAAATCCTCATCGGATGACTCGATTTGATGTAAATACTAAGCTTGTGATAGGTAATTTATAAATTTTATCATCCTTTTTCATAATCATATTCCTAAAATAACAATATTCAATGTTTGTGTTTCAATACAGGCATGATACACAGTGGGATTGGATACACTAATTTAAATAAACTATTAACATGTTTGAACATACCAGAAATAGATTTTAAGACATACAAGAGATATCAAGAAGAAGCTGGAAAAGCCATAGTAAGTCTTGCCAAGCAGAGTTGTGAAGAAGCAACTGAATTGGAGCGAAAGTTTACTCTGGAGAATCTTCCAGCTCTTAGAGAAGATTTGTAATTGTATATTATTATAAATTTTTCATGACTTCAATTATTCATTTTTACAATAAATTAGATTCGAAACAGAACAAATTGATTTCAATAGAAGTCCATTCATTCAATGTTATGTTTTCGGTTTCCGATTTAGAAGTTTCATGATCAGTCAACAAAAATACTGATTAATAAATGAATGAAAACGAATCTTGGCATTTTTATTTCACGACCCTTGACCAGTTTTAAAAGTGGGTATTTAAGATCGGAAATTATCACTCCTTTCTTTCACTAATTTAATGTACGTGCTAATAAATGTTAAGATGAATTTAGAAAAGCAATCCTGGGGGTGGCTACTATAAGTCAATGATCACTCGCTTTAAAATCACCCGAGTAACTACGGACGATTAATTTTATATACAAAAATAGCCTGTCTTCTCACTTGGGATTTAATGAAACCTTTAAATTGAAAAAGAAAGTACGTCACTCAACTACTACTGCTACTAGTATCTTCCAATGCGCACGCCCCAAAAATCCCACGATGTCCCAACACTAGTTCCCCCCCCCCCTTCCCAGGATCCATGTGTAGCACACAGCAACGAGATTGTTGTACATTTATGTCAAAATTGATCGCAGTTTATCAAGATTAATTTATTACCGCTCGTGTGTAATTTGTTGTTTGGAGAAGATTACTCACGGAACTTCTGCGGACTATGCAGGAATTTCCTTACGTGTTATCCGAATACGAGGAAATAAACCCTCTTCTATACAAACCTATCAATTCAACTCAACGTATCAAGGTATTCTCAAAATTCTTATGCAACAATACCACGTTTCCTTTTTTGTTTTTGCAATATTCATGATGTTTTATCAATTACATTACTATACTTCTGTATACATAAAGAGGATAACGTTCATGCTATTTCAATCTTTTAATACAATGCTCATTTTTTGACGTTTTACATATTTTGATTTTTGATTTGGAATTGTACGAAAAATGTGAAGCGTATAAAATATATTTGCAAACTATATGTATGGATGACTTAAAATGATTTTTAAGAATGATAATCGTAGTGCATACAATAGTTTCTAATTATTAGTAAATGTACTCTCGGAATAATGATAATTTTACAGTACATGTAACACAAATATGTCTTGAATATCCTAATCCTTATGATTATAGATTATGTAAGTTACTTTAATGAAAGGTTAACTAAATTTTCTTTATTATGTTACAGTACACATGTTTTAACACATCTCCGAATTATATTATTTTGGGTTCAACCAGCGGAAGTGTTTACCTCTTCTTAAGGAAACCATGCTCCTTTGTACAATTGATACCCTTATCGGTATGAATTTATTCTGTTTTAATAATAATAAAATATTAACTC